GGCCGATACCAATTGCGGTCTGCCAGATGGTCGTGGAGGAGCGCCGTCTCGGCAGCAAGGACGCGGCGAACTCGCCCGTGTCCACAACCCACGCCGAGTCGTCTGACGCAATCTTTCGAAAGGGGTCGGAGGATGAGTGGTTCGACCACGAGGACGAGATGTCCTCTCCCGTGCCCATTTCCTACGCCGAGACACCCGACAACATCGCCCGGCGGGAGTTGGGGGACGCCCTGTTCGGCCAAGAAGGCAAGGCGCCGTCCCTAGAAGGCTCCTTTGTTACTCGTCAGGAGGGCCGGGGTGAAGTGTGGTCCGAAGAAGGGGACGCGGTGGTAACGGCTTCGCCGCCCTTGCCTTATAGTTCAACCAGGGAATGCTCCCCAATAGCTCTAAGGACTCCCACGGAAAGCGAACCGGTTGGTGTTTCGGTAGAGTAGTGGTACGAGGCCACGGCCCGATAAAGAGTTTGGGTAGTGGAGTTGGCGTGAGGCCACGGCCCGCTAGAGTAGTTGGCGCGGGGCCACGGCCCGCTAGAATAGTTGTTGCGAGGCCACGGCCCGCTAGTGTAGTTGGTACGAGGCCACGGCCCGGTAGTGTAGGCGTGCAGAAATAGAGCGAGGCTTGGTCTGGTCAGGATACTCACCCTCTTCCCCTTTAAGCCCTCCCTCCGAGCGAGATTATAAATATATTGTAGCTCGCTAGACCTGGTAAGACTGAGAGTTATACCCCGGCCAGTAGCATTTACAGCATTTGCATGAATACTTGCCGCACTTTATTGATCATAAAAGCTGATCTACCATCTAACACCGCAGTCGTCAGCGTATTCCCTTGGTAAATAATTCCAATTAGATGAAAGCTTTTTAGCTTGTTCCGGACTTAGACCTCATTTCATTCGTTTTCTTTCGTTTCAATGTTGTGCCTTAGAGTTCTACCAGAACGCACTCACTATATATATATATGATATATATATATAAATATATGGTATATATATATACCAAGGGAATACGCTGACATGTATATATATAGCTGGTAGAACTCGAACGCAAAACATTGAAACGAATGAAAACGAATGAAATGAGTGGAAATGTGTTGGAATAAGAGATTGCATTTCGAATCCATTCGAATGAACAACCGTTTTTTTAATTGTGTTTTTCTTGCCGCGCATAAAGAAGAATAGGATTTTTTCGGCTGTGCCAAATTTTTCATGCCGCTTCACGCTTTATGAATATATAACTACTCATTACTTATTACTCATTACTCATTTAAGTGGTATGTGACACAACACGCACTCACATTGTTACGCATGCCTTTCATTGTGTGCCTCGCACTCACTCAATTTAATTTAATTCGAGTCCATTCAATTTAACGTATATTGTGAGTGAAGCCATTTTCCTCTCTAAATCTATTTGAAAATAGTTTGATATATGCTTTATAACGTCAACCTGTTTATAAAGGGTATACTGTTTCTGCGCAAAATGTATATAACAGGAGGGCAGATTTAAGTATATATATTTTTTATTATTATAGCATCAATAGCCAAGACGATCTAGTCATGTCCTTCTGCCCGTCCGTCTGGCCGTCAGTGTGTATGAACAAAAGGATCTCATAACATATAAGAGCTAGAGACTGAAATTTTAGACGTAGGTGTTCCCAGTACCCGCGCAGTACAACTTTGATTCCGATAATCGATCATTTTTCCCACATCCAAGTAATCGTTCAAAGTCGATATAAAAATTATGCTTTCCGATCGTTTAATGGAATGAGTATAAATATTGCAGATAAATCAGATGAGGGACACTTATATATATGCATATATATATCCTTGAAGCCTTAATAATTGGATCCTGATGATGTTCAGCATTTCTCACTTCGATTTCTCACTCAAAATTCATCCGTAGTGTTAGCTGAATGAATAAATCTTTTTTTCAGGTTGACGTGATTTTTTTTGAGAATTATCATTTATATTATTTACGAATTTTATTTATTCTGCGAAAAGTTTAGAATATGGAAAAGATATGTTTAACTTTAAAACATTTCCGGATCAAGGACTTGAACTGAATTATTTTTAAAGCTAAGCAACAACATACAGTTGGTGTTGATAGGTTGTTGGTTGACTGGTAAATGCAGACAATCTACAGACTAAGATGACTAACGAAATACAACAAGATGCTACTAGGCAGCTTGATTTTTTGAAAATTAAGACCGAAAACGAAATCTGTATTAATGCACTCTCACAGCCGAGAGAGCAACAAAGCTACAAAAATATAATATACTCTCAGCGTCGGCTCTATGATGGCCGTCCAAGCAATTATGTTTGTATGCGTGTGAATATGCATACAAAACAGCATACATGAATATGTTGTTATCCATTGCTCTGGCAAAGTCTCTGGCTGGCTAAGTTTAGTTTAGTTTAGTTTTTTAGCGCTGATGAACTATATTAAATTTGTGTTGACATATGAATGCAATGTTTGTAATGAGGTGGGCTATGTAGAAAATATGTATTTTAAGGTCGATGAAAATATTTACATATATTATTTATTTAAATTAAATAAATATTATTGCGCAAAAAGCGCCATGTGTAAAAATGATATAGTTCTTAAATGTTCCTATAAAACTAATCGTAGGTATCTAGGGTAATATATAATTTAAATAAAGCATGCACTTCATGGATAAAACAAAAGCACTTTGCGTCGATCGTAAGTTTAAAACTTTTTCGCTCCACTGAGAAAACGAAACGACGTAAAGCACCATTGATCAGCTTTGCTGAAGGCAGGCAAGCGATTTACTTCGTTGTCAGCATCAGCAAGCCGCGACTTCGGCATTCGAACAGCCAGTCGGCTGGCAAGTCGTGTGAAATCGTAACAGCCAGTTTAGGAAGCCCGGCTAGAAATTTTGCGTCGCATGTATATGTATGGGCGTTACTCATCTTTGTATTTATATTGTCTTTGGTAAAGGTTCATTATTGTTATACCCTTGCAGAGGGTATTATTATTTTGTCGTGAAATGTGTAACGCATAGAAGGACACATCTCCGACGCCATAAAGTATATATATTCTTGATCAGCATCAACAGTCGAGTCTGCAGAAGTGCCTCTTTCTGTTGCACGCAGCACATATAACAAAACCAGCTAGATCGGACCACAAAATCATATAGCTGCCATTAGAGCGATCGGTCGAAAATTAAGTTTTTGTATGAAAAAACATTTTGTTTCTTGGTTTTACTATGCTCCTCATATATATGCAAAATTTTATTAAGATCGGACCACTATATCATATAGCTTCCATAGGAACGATCGGTCGAAAACTAAGTTTTTGTATGAAAAACATTTTGTTTATCAAGATATCTTGACCAAACTCCGGACTTATTAGTTTTACGATGCTCCTCATATATATGAAAAATTTTATTATGATCGGACCACTATATCATATAGCTGCCATAGGAACGATCGGTCGAAAATTCAGTTTTTGTATGAAAAAACATTTTGTTTATCAATATATCTTAACCAAACTCCGGACATATTAGTTTTACTATGCTCCTCATATATATGATACTTCCTATTATGATCGGACCACTATATCATATGGCTGCCATAGAAATCGGTCGAAAATTAAGTTTTTGTATGAAAAAACATTTTGTTTATCAAGATATCCTGACCAAACTCGGCACCTATTAGTTTTGCTATACTCCTAATATATAGGCAATCATATTAAGACCGGACCACTATATTATATAGCTGCCATTGGAACGATCGGTCGAAAATTAAGTTGTTGTATGAAAACATTTTATGCCATTCAAGATATTTTGATTAAAAACGGAATTTAAAGATTTCATTATGCTCCCTTCATTTTTGTAAAATCATATTTATCTCGGACTACTATATCATATATCTGCCATAGGAACGATCGGTCGAAAACTAGGTTTTTCATTAAAAACCTTTTTTGTTTATCAAGATATCTTGACCAATCTCGGCTTAACTATTATCGCTGTGCTTCTTAGATACGGGCAAAGCACTATAAGCATTATGAAAAGGTTGGGTCTGCAAGGGTATTAGATCTTCGGCGTGCAGAAGATAGCCTTTCTTTCTCGTTTTAAATTATATTTGAATAATTGGCTCAGTTTCCTTATACAAAAGTTTTAGCGCACTTAGTTTTTTACTCGATTTATTTTTATGTTTATGTTTAGGTAAAATCTTGCGACGCCGTTAGCAAGAACATATGTTGTGATCTACCATTATTGAAAATCATAATGCAATGAGAATTACATTTTATATCCCAAACAATAGATAAATTTTACAGAATCATATGCTAAGAACAGTGAAGTTATATAAAGCTACCGTGCTATGATTTGCAGCATCATAAATTGCTTTAAAGGATCTCACAGCCTCGAAAGAACTGCGTGACAAGATTGCCCCCTCAAGATTGAAGGGAATCCAAAAATAGCATATACTTAACTAACTGATACGGATTTTATTATATAAGTATATCCATTGACTATCAGAAAGAGGCTGCATAAGAACAAGTATAATCCATGCTTAGCAGATGTAAGCCACTCGTTTCCTCTGCCAATTAAATTAAACATTTGGGTGTTATTGAGTTGCATGACTGCTGCAGGCATAGGCGCATGTCTTGCCACTTTGCCACTTTCTAAGCCCAATTTAATAGTTATGGAATGAACTGCATGGGTAGAAACAACCAGAAGATTGGGTTATCCCATGCATTTCCTCTATACAACAGAAGGGCTTGCCCAAAAAGTATTAGTAAATCGGCAGCAAACGCTTGCCATTACTTGCTTGCCATTAGTTATATGTTTTTCTGCAGGTCGTCTTAATTTAAATATCTAAGGATAAGGAATATTTTATTTCTTGAGAGCTGTTTTTTCCGAGTAAAGCTTGGTGCTTAATTTTGGACATAATTTGGTGTTATTTATTAGCCACTTAATAAAATATATCTAATTATATCAGTATACAATATTTGATGATTAAAATAATATCCTTATAAGCTTACCTTGTTTCAAAGTTATAAGTCGGTCTTTTTATAAAAAGAAATTTAGGCAAAAAGTTTATGAAAAGACGTTTTACCCAGGGTGCCATTCTGTGTGTTTGTGGAGAACGAAAATGAACGTTCAGTACGACAACAGTCACACAAATGCTAAACAATAAAACAAACAATTTTATATTATTAATTAAAAATTAACAAACCAATAACTTACCTTATAGAAACCAATATCATAGCAAATATTAGGTATTTACCCAACAGTGGTACAACTAACGATGTTGGAGGAATAATTTCAACGACCAAAAGAAAAAACACATGAAGACTAATGAGAATCGAGATGGATAGAGTAACCTGTAATGAAATGCATTTTACAAAATTCTATATTACAATTAAGCTATTTAACTTTCTTATATATTAAGGATTGAATCTTATAGTTAAGATCGTACAAAATGTAATCAAAATAAAATGTATTTATGCATCTCTTGCCTCACATTGTGTATAGTGACATGTCTCCCACATTATCTTCCACTATATGTTATCCAAAGCTTTTTATCAGAATTAAATAATTAAAGATCGAATAATATGCAATTATTAGCTGACTAAAACAAAAAAAAAAGATTGTATGTGAATATTAAAGTCCAATTTAATAGCACATATATGAAACTTGAAATCTAACACTTAAAGCATGCCTATATATCTTGGTTATATCTGCTGTTAGGCCAACCCTATAGAAGCGAAATCTACTCATCGTCTCAAAAAAACAGGCTGTAAACTCGGCTAAACAAGCATAACATCGTTTAATAAGACACTCTGGACAATCTTAATGGCGTCTCAATCGTCTCGATTTATCAGCGAACATCATAAGTCACAGTTTCGCAAAATGCGGTTGACAAAATTCGGTGAAAAGCATGCAGAATTCAAAAACTTTATTTGTCTTTTTGAAAGTCTGGTGCACAATGATTCCACACTGTCCAATGTCGAGAAATTTAACCAATTAATTTCATTCTTGTCTGATGAGGCATTAGGAACAGTAAAGGCATTTCAAATCATAGACCGCAATTATGAAAAGGCTTTACAAAGCTTAAGAGCTGTTTATGCAACAAATGCCTCATATTTTTTGTCTTATAGACACCATATCGGCATTAAATTCTTCTCTGCAGTCTCTGCAGTAGGCGATGACAAGGATATTGTAAGTCAAAAGTAGATCAGGCAATTCTTGGAAGAACAGCTTGACATGATAGTTTGCCAACTTGGTCAGATTGCGCTGCTTAATTTAATCGGTGCTATCAACACTCAGCTGCCGAAGAGTCGACGGAGCAAAACGAAACCAAGGCAAGAGGCTAATAAGGGACATATTAGGTAACCGTTTTCGTGTTCTAAGGGTGATCAGAAAGCAGGTACCAAATGCAGCTATTGTTCGGTTGCTGATCGTAGTCTCGCAAACTGTCAATAGTTTAGCGCTCTACTTGTTTATCGCTTTGGGTCTGTGAAGCAACACAACTTGTGCATCAATTGTGTCAAACAGGGGCATCCAGTAAAAAATGTGGAGGATCGAACGTCGAGTGTGTTCAAAGACACACCACACTGTACTTCTCAGGTAAACGGATTTGTAAACGCAAGCATCTAGTTCCGCCCCAGCTTCTCCACAGCAACATGCTTATGCAAATTATGTTGTTTGTGCCGGACAAGTAATCCAAGTCACAGATGTAGATTTGGGTCTTTTCAGATCGCGAGAGCGCTTTTTGATTCCGGATCGCAAATAAACTTTATGTCAGAGGACTTAGCACAACGCTTACGTCTACATCGTACAAAAGTGTCATTGAAAATTGTCACACTGGAAAACACTGCTTCGAGCATCAATTATCATATTTTTGGGGCTGATTTTTGGAAATTGAATGTAAAAGAAATTTTAAACATAATGTGTGTATGTTGGAATATGAATTTGAGGTAGAATTGCTATTTAAAACGAGTCCAAAAGTAAAAGGATTGTCCCTTGAGACTTTAAAACGTCTGTTTTGGCCTTAGAGCACAGATTCGAAAAGGATGACGTACTGCGAAATATGTATAATGCATTTATGAAAGAATATCGAAACCTTGGACATATGCCACCGCTTACGTCAACTCCTCCAGGACTACATTATTACATTCCCCATTAATGCATCCTGCGTCCTGATAGTATAACCACCAAATTGCGCGTAGTTTTTGATATGTTAAGGCAGACGTCAACTTAAATCTCACTAATCAAGACTTCGATGGGAGGTCCAACTATTTAGAGGGGGGTAGGTAGACAACGCAAAGGAGGATCGAAAGTTTTAGTTAGTTGTTTGGAGGCAATATACATCAGAAAGTTTCCGGACATTTCAACTCAACATTGTGACTTATGGCACTGCCTCCGCTCCCTTTTTGGCCATGAGTAGACTATTTGAACTAACAGAACTCTACGCAGAATCTCACCCAATTACTTCTCCCGTCATCAAAACGATTTTTATGTCGATGATATGCTAACAGGGGCAAATAGCGTACAAGAGCTCGAGATTATTCGCAAACAAGTTGGAGGGGTCTTAAGACTTGGAGGTTTCAAGTTAGCCAAATGGGCCACAAGCCACAAAAGTTTGCTGAATGGAAGTAGTGAAGAAAATTCGCTAGAGTTTGATCGTGCGGCAACTGTTAGAACTCTTGGAATAAGGTGGAATCGTATAGTTCATTAAAGCAAACTTAGAGCAATATTCTTTCAGCTGCATCTAGATTGCTTGATCCGTTAGAATTGTTGTGTCCTTTGATTATTAGAGCAAAAATTGTGCTCCAAGACTTGTTGCGATGAAGTTGGATTGGGACGAAGCTATTACCATAAGTCTACATACAACCTGGGATAAATTTAAGCAAACCCTATTAGAATTACATCAAAAATCCACTCCTTAATATTTTTGCAAATCCAGATACCTGAACGTACAAATTCATGGTTTTGCGGATGCCTCTAGATATGCCAATAGCTGTTGCATGTATTTGCGCACCCATGATATGAGTCTCGTGTGACCCCCTTAAAACAAAATCAACTCCATGACTAGAATTATTCGCTGCTCATCTGTTGGCCACATTGTGGTCTTAAATCGATTGTCTATTTGAGGAATGGAGCGTACATTTTTGGTCAGACTCTTAAGTCACCCTTTACTGGCTTAAAAGAGACTTCAGCTCATTAGCAACTTTCGTAGCCAACAGAGTTGCAGTAGCGCCATGTGCCGTCAGAAGCGAATCCAGCTGATCTTATTTTAAGGGGAACAGATGCGGATTTGGTTTGCCCGCTCTGGTTTAATGGTTCTGAATTTTTATGACAAGTCCTAAGTGCAATCAGTACATTCTGTAGCATTGCAGAAATCTAATGAAATCTTGAGCTAATCGAACGGTGCTCCTCGTTTACTTAATTGGTGCGTATCATGGCATTAATCAACCATTTTCTACAAGGGAAAAAACGTAGTCGCTAATCAGTTTTCTTATCACAGGGGCTGCGACTCGCCTTTTGAAATAGGTACAAGTGGTGCAAATGTCTGAGCTTGGTCACGAATTGGTTCAACTAGAAAAATCGAAAACCTTAGTACCTTATCTTCAATGTTTCAGCCCATTCATACATAAAATTGGAGAAAAAGAATCCAATTTCAAAATCATTCGAGTTGGTGGGCGATTGCTAAGGGCACCCATTCCATATAATTATTAATTTCACATACCTCTTTCCCGAAAATCTCATTTGATAAGTCTGTAGGCCAGCTTTATGATTCGAGGGAGAGCCACAATGAAAACTTATGTAGCCATCTTTGTTTGTTTTGCGTCTAAGGCGGTTCACCTGGAACTTGTTGCTGACCTTTCTACTGACTATTTTCCATCCATATTTAAATGGTTCATCAGCAGACGAGATCTCACTCAGAAGGTCTACAGCGACAACGCCACTTCGTAAGAGCAGCGAACGTCCTGAAGGATCTCTAGGCGGCGCGCAACGGCCAAAAGCAGCAAATGCAGATGTATGCAACGGAGCAAGGCATCGAATGGGTGTTCATCCCACCGATGGCGCCCCATTTCGGAGGGCTGTGGGATTCCGACTTGAAGGCCGCCAAGCCTTGTCTGATGCAGGCACTTAATAGACTTCTTGGCGCTTCTTAACTCGCGCCCTATCGCCTCCCCAGGTAACGACCCCAACGACGGGGAGGCCCTAACATCAGGCCACCTGCTTCCGGGGTCGACGAAGCCAACAGCAAGGCGAGCTTCTCGTTTGAAGCGGTCGCGAATGCTGTTGGCGCTCAAGCAGAAGCTCTGGCGTTCTTGGTCCAGCGACCTATCCCCCCTGCAGCAGCGCAGACAATGGGCCAAGGACGTGCCCAACTTGGAAGTAGGATGCCTCGTTCTTGACACGAGGACTATACACCATCCCAAAAATTGACAACAGGGTGCACGATGGCAACAACGGTCGACGAAGACGCTAAAGTGCGCGTGGTTGAGATTCCCAAGCCTACCGCAGTCATGAAGCGGCCAATACACAAGATGGCAGTGCTACCAATAGTTTAAGCCTTTATGCCTTCAACGGGGCCAGAATGTTTAAACAGCTGAAAACCAAGTAACTATTAAATATTGTAAACAACACGCTCGCACTTAAATAACAGACGCTTTTAACAGATACTCTTTGTTAATGTTAAGAGCGCTGTTAAGCATTGATGTTGTCGGTGCTCATCTTAGCAGCAGCAAGCCTGTCCAATTTTTGTAAGTAGGAATTGTTCTCGAGCTCTGAAGAACAGCAGAAGCAATGAACGTGTAAAGGAAAGAAGTTTTCTTGTATTTCTAATCAAAATAGCGAATCACTGTGCAGAATTTCCTTAACTGCTTTCAACAGTTAAATTAATTAACTAATTAAGAAATTATTGGCTTATTATCAGTGAAAACCCCTTACGAATAATTCAAAGCTGTTGTCGCATTGTGTTTCCCCTTAAGTGAATTTTTCAATGTAGTGCGGTGTTTTCTTGTACCTCCAAATCCTTTGCACTTGCTTTTGCAGCTTATAACAGGTCGGCACATTTCGCTCCGCCTTTTTGGCTAGCAGCAACACTTTAGTGCTGGGTGTAAGCTCGCCAACGACTACCCATCCTTAAAGCGATTTCTGTAGGGCAGACAGTTTTTGTCCTATTTTGATTCGACTTTCAATCAAAGAAACTCCTAATATGGTTTCAATGCTTTGAGAAGAGTCAAATGTCGGATCCGCAATGGTTACTTCCTTGAGTGGTTTCCAATTCAATTCTAGAGGGGGAACTTGTCTGATTATATTAAGTAATTGTACTGCAAGCCTTGTCACTGCACCAATAATCTGAGATGGT